TAATTAAAAATGAAATTCATTAATAATAATAATACAATACTTATAAATAATAATAATAATAATTATTATTATTATTATTAGTAGTAGTAGTAGTAGTAAAACAAAATAAAATAATCATTTTATTATTAAATAATGATATTAAAAACATTATTTCATATTTTATGTATATTATAGAAATATTTACAAATTATTATTATTATTATTATTAATTGGTTTATTTTCATAATAATGATAATAATTATTTTTAAAAAATAATGACAATAATAATAATAATAATAATGACAATAATAATAATAATAACAATAATAATAATAATATGCTAAGCATAAAATAATAATAATAATAATAATTAATAGCTGAAAAATATTGAAAAGTATTATTTATTATTTTGCAAATTTCTTTATTTTATACTATTAATAAAATAACTATAATTAAAAATATTAACAATAATACAATACTTATAAATAATTAAAAACAATATTTAAAAGTCGTTTTATTATTATTATTACTTAATAATAATCATCATAATAATTAAACATAAATAATACTAGTTAAAATGTAATAATATTATTATTGCTTGTAATTAAAGTTAAGGGTTTGTTCCAATTTCTAATCTAAAGTATTAAACTTTGGCTCATCTCACACAGTTTATGTAGTGCTGTTCATAAAATGTGAAAATGTATATTTGTATTGTTTGCTAAATCATTACGGATGCTGTGCTGTTGTTGAATGGGCAGGACTACACCGCCACGATCTTCCTCCGGCAGCGCTGGACAGACGAGCGGCTCGGGTTTGAAGGCAATAAGAGCTTGAGTCTGGATGGGGGGCGGGGGGGGCTCCTTTGGGTCCCTGATACATTCATTGTGGATTCCAAGAAATCCTTCCTGCATGACATCACTGTCGAAAACAGACTGATCCGGATATTCCCCAACGGAACCGTGCTGTATGCCCTGAGGTGAGGTGTCATTCACCGGATCTGTTCTACAGTCAGATGCTACTGGGGTCTTATGAAAGAAGATGGTTGAGGACAGGGTTTACTGTTGAAGGACTGACTGGAGAATTGATGGAGGGATAAGGGCATGAGAGGACAACTAGAAAGAGGCAGGGATAGTTATGGGCCAGTGGAAGAGTTCACAATGGCAGAAAACAGGGTAAGAATAGAGGCGGCAGTAAGGGACTCAAAGCTTGTGTACAGATGGGCAGCTGGCACCAAAAATTAAGCTTGAAAGTAGCATCCACAGACAGTGAGCTGATTTCTAGTGTTATATAAGCAACAACATTCTCTCATGTACGTCACTCTTTTTTTTTCTCTCTGTTTCTCTAGAATTACCACAACGGTGGCCTGCAGTATGGATCTAACCAAATATCCCATGGACAGACAGACGTGCACCCTTCAACTCGAAAGCTGTAGGTCTCAAATAATATGATATTTCTATAGACAGATTGTAAAGAATTTACAACCCTGTCGGTTTTTCACTAGTAATTGCTTAAGTGGTCACAAAATGTAACATTTATATAGGCCTAGGCTACACATGACTGCATTTTTATGCATAACCATATCAGATAAATGCACCATCTTGTAACGCATATTTAGTTTTATTCTGAAATATGAAAGACTCATTGCAGAGTTCAAAATATATTTATAATTTATAACATGCTTAAAATTCTATCTTTCATAAAGTTAATTTGATTTAGATTTTTTTATTCGTTTATAATATAAAAAATATATCAAAATCATCAAGCGGATGTAACACCAGCTGACAAAGTAAACCTTGAAATATTTTGAATGACTGCTGCCTTAAATATCTTACAGTGGCTTCAGAATCAATGCAACATATTAGCATAATGCTCATGTGTATAAATAATATAAAACCTCTTTAATATTCATACATGACAAGCCAAACACTCACACAGCAGTCTTAGGCTAGGGAGCATACGGCATGCAGATTAATTATTTTACAACTTAAGGGATATTTATGGTGTGTACACCTGGAGCATCTATCATTAGTGAAATGAATATTTCACATGTACTACACAAATTTAGAAAAAGGCTTGAAACATGCATGTTTCTTAAAGGGTTAAGACCCTCTGCCTGCCCAGCCTGGTCTCATGTTTATACGTAGGTATTAATACGTAACATTTACAAGCACAACACGTACATTTTTGTACGTTTTTATTAACGCTAAAACGTACAATTTAGACGTATTTCAATATGTGCTGTGCAAGAAATCACAGGATATGTTTTGATTCATTAGTGTTGCCAGATCTTACTAGGAAAAAAAAAACATCAAATAAGAACAGGCCCATAATAAACTCAAATCCAGATGCTTTATCTTGGAAATAAGTCACATGCCAAAATATCGCGACCTGCACCTGCCTGTCTTATTAACTCTGTAAACTGGATCGCTTAATGAGCCAAGCCTAAACAACAAGCCCAAAGACAATTAATAAGCGTCGCTTATAATAAGTGGACATGGCAACCCTTCAAGAGCACACTCTACTAAGTAGCCTTCCAAACATAAAGGAAACATGACGCCTCTGTTGACGGTGGTTTAGTTAAAATCGCCAAACATAATGAGTCTTTGGTCGCTGTATTAACACTTCGGTTAAAATAGCAGATACCGAAAGCGTGAGATGGCAAAACTTTGCTATGGTGTCAATCATCGCAGTTTCGAGAGTAAATTCTGTTCCATACACACATGAAACTGTAATAATAATAATATGGTTGTCACTCCTGAAACCTTACAGTGTGTACGTAGCCATAAAAACCACTCCAATAACTCCTTATTTTTTATTTATTGATAGTCTTGAAGACTTTTTACTTGGATGCACAGCATCAATGTTTTATATCCCTATGAAAGGACTCTGATTCTCTTCCCAGGAAATTATCCCAAGCTGATCTTTCATTTCGAGCTAAAGAGGAGCATCCTGTACTTCATCCTGGAGACATACGTGCCGTCCAGCCTGCTGGTGGTTCTGTCCTGGGTCTCTTTCTGGATCAGCCAATCATCCGTCCCCGCTCGCATCTGCATAGGTACAGTAATGTGTTTCATTTCATTCTTAGGAAAAACAAAATATGTTGATTTAGTAACCACCCGAAAATTCCTAGCAACCAACACCTTGGTAACCATATAGTAACTATCCATAACATCCTAGCAGCCAACACCTTGGCAACCATATAGTAACTATCCATAACATCCTAGCAGCCAACACCTTGGTAACCATATAGTAACTATCCATAACATCCTAGCAGCCAACACCTTGGCAACCATATAGTAACCAACTAGATCATACTATCAACCAACACCTTGGCAACCATATAGTAACCATCCAGAACATCTTAGCAACCAACACCTTGGCAACCACATAGTAACCAACCAGAACATCCTAACAACCAACACCTTGGCAACCACATAGTAACCACCTAGAACATCCTAGCAACCAACACCTTGGTAACCATATAGTAACTATCCATAACATCCTAGCAGCCAACACCTTGGCAACCATATAGTAACTATCCATAACATCCTAGCAGCCAACACCTTGGCAACCATATAGTAACCATCCAGAACATCTTAGCAACCAACACCTTGGCAACCACATAGTAACCACCCAGAACATCCTAGCAACCAACACCTTGGCAACCACATAGTTACCACCTAGAACATCCTAGCAACCAACACCTTGGCGACCATATAGTAACTGTCCATAACATCCTAGCAACCAACACCTTGACAACCATATTGTAACCACCCTGAACATCCAAGTAACCAACACCTTGGTAACCATATAGTAACTATCCATAACATCCTAGCAGCCAACACCTTGGCAACCATATAGTAACTATCCATAACATCCTAGCAGCCAACACCTTGGCAACCATATAGTAACTATCCATAACATC